TCTTACCTCTGAAGCAGGCTTGTTGATGAATATTTCACCAGGTATTAAATGGGGCATTATTGTTAAGGTTTTTTTATGATGCTGAGAATTGGATTATTTGTTACAACTCTGAATTATGTGAACATTTGTTCTGTAACTCTTTATAATGCTCTCTTTTCTGGAGATAAAGACAATAAATGTCTGACTCTTCAAACATTTTGACATCTTCCACCTACCGAAGAAGCTTACCAGCATCAGAAATAACAACTTACATCGTTATATATTTACAGTTGATAAACTGAAGAATGGCCAGCAAGAAATTGTATATTTTTTAATGATTATGATGTAGCACCAGCACATTGTTAATCATTATCATCATTTTTACTATCATTATGATTAATTTTTTACAGAAGATGGCTGATCAGTCACCCCTATATACTGCGATCTCAAATCTAAATTTAATTTACATCAATATATAACCCACAGTTGGATTTTAACACTTTGTCACATAAATGTAATAACTCGACCCTGCAATTGTGTCATGAATGTACATTGCTGACTTCAGCACCGTTAAAATTATAGACAAGGAAAACAGAGAATTCCAAGTGTTGGTACAGTTTTCGTAGTTTATTTCATGGTCAAAACAGGGCAGGACAAGGCAAGCCGGGCACTGTCCCAGCACTGTCTGTATGGTGGAACAATGGGGTACAGAGTCCACCAACATGATAGATTCCTAGCAGCTTAGACCAATTTGAAGAGATCATACTCACAGCAATACAATAGTCTTGCTCCTAATATGTAAAAATAATGTAAAAAAAAAAAATCTTACAAGCTAACCCAACTATAATGTACCAAATGAACATTTATGAATAGAGTATATATATCAAATGAGAGAATATGAGTGGAGGAGAACTATAAGGAGAAAGTGAAAAGCCGTTACAACTAGATAACATTTGGAAAGGAATAAGGATTTGGGATGGGACGGGGTATAGGAATGGTACCCAACCACTTGGATAGTCGGGGATTGAACGCCAACATGCATGCAGTGAGACCATTGCTCTATCATCAAGCCCATGAGGTTGGGAATAGAGAATGAGAATGAATGAATGTGAGCGCACATACACCTAATGGGGTACCTAATGGTTCCTAGGTCAACTCCAAAAGGTTGCACCATTTAAATGTTAAGAGTCCCCAGAATGCAAATCTGTCATCATAAGACATTTTGCAAGTCAGTAACTAAATACAGTAAAAATGCTTTTACAAATGATAAAACTATGGTCAGCCCCAAACATTTCCTCTCCACTGACTTCATTGAGTGGGACATAGGGGCTAAATTTACTCAAGAGGGGGCATGGTGGACAATCCTACTCCCCCAACCCTTATGACTGCCTCATTACACCTACCATTCACCATACAAAGCTGGGGAGAGGCTAGCTCTAGCATCTATTCTCCAACCTTCGATAGGTATATATTTATACAGCCCATCCTCCTGTTTAATTAGTACTTATAGTAATGAAGAAGACCATCATATATATCTTAACATAAAAGGCAATTAAAAACTAGAAATCAGTAATACTGAACTTAAGACGAACCGGAAACGTTTTTGAACTGATGTTGAAATGAAAACTTAACCTAACAATCTTCCTAGGCTTAATAAATACTATTTAAGGCCTAATATAGTAAATAAATGTGCTATATTAGGCCTAGGAATATTCAAATTTGGTTTTTAGCTAAATTTTTTTGGACTCTTATAAAGTGAATAGTATCAAATTCTATCTGATTGTCAATTATGTCTATGTATGTACACTGGTCTACATAGTTACAAAAAGTACTATCTAAACAAGAGGATGGGTTTATTTATACAGACATTTGCTGACTAAACCACACACTAGAAATTGAAGAGGAGACAACATTTCAGTCCATCCTGGACCATTATCAAGTCGAAGGTCAGTGACTATTGACTTGATAATGGTCCAGGACAGACTGAAATGTCATCCTCTCTATAATTTCTAGTGTGTGGTTTGATTAACATTTTTCAGGCACGTTATTGTGACTCATCATCTGCATATGCATATATATATATTTTATTATTATTATATATATATATATATATATATATATATATATATATATATATATATATATATATTATATATATATATATAATAATACGCTTTACACTGATCTAGAGAATCCTGATCTGGAGCAGGCCAAAAGTCTCGATTTTCAGAACGATCAAAAATTTTGCTTGCCCACTGTTTCTATGACATCTCTCTCAACAAAATCCTCAATGAATCCCAATTCCTTCGATACTGATAACCTTTCGCCTTTCTTGTCCTATACTGGCATCCGAAGTGATATAAATGACCTCTTCAGTCTCCAGTGACATGTACTGTGATATACTATATGGCAATACAGTACTAGCTGAGCAATCCTTTGAGAATTACATACCATCTAGGCCAAAAATAAATAAATAATTATGTACATTAATGATTACTGATAAGATATGGCATGCACAGACAATGAATACCAATTTCCAAAATCTGATTACTAAGAAGTCATTAGTTTGATTTAATAAAAGGTAATATGAGCAAACCCCCTAGAAATGTCTGATTTGTGTTTCATTTTTACTACAGCATTTTTGTTAATGAACAAAACTTTTTACTTAGATGAAGCAATTGAGGTACCTAAACACGTCTGAAATTATTTAACACTAAAGATAGAAGCTTGGAAGAATAGTCATAACAAAAGACCAGAAAATATATCTTTAATTCTTATTAAAAATCTTAATATTGTATTAACCCAAAGTTTCAGAATTTTTTTTAACCACACTACATCTTCCAATGAGTTTAATACAGAATTTCACTCAAGTTTTCCTCTAAATCTTAACAAAATATAAAAAAAGAGCACCATTTATTATTAATCTTTAGATTCAATTGACATTAGCTGACTTCAATACAAATGCAAGTGAAGGTCACTTTTTTAGTAAGTTATTTAAACTTAAAATACAAATTTAGACTAAAATTGTCTTTTAGGCAGAAAAGTGAAACTTGGCAGATCTACACAACATTTTCACCTTACAAATGATCTTCAGCATAAATTCCATATCATTTTACATAAAAAGTTGATAGAAATGTTACAGAAAAGTTGTAATCGAGTCCTACATCTTGGGAAAAGAAAAAACTTCTTTGAAATACATAAGCTAAACACTAAGAGATATTAATAAATACTTTACTTTCTATAGCACTTCTTCACTTTGACAGATTTATGATAAAGTGAGAAGTGAAAATGATATTGAGGCACTACATAACATTAACTCCACAAGTGGTCAGAAGACTGGCAAATGCTTTTAAATATATATAAATACAAGATTTTATTATGGATTGTTATGCATGTGGAGCATAACAATCCATATCACATTTATCAAATTAACAGCATTCCTTGCAGCAGATTGATGAAGAAAAGTGGCAGTAAAAAAAAAGAAAACCAAACCCTAGGAATAATCAAGCATACCTTTGACTTTAAGGAAAAGAAGGTAGTTATGCAATTGAGTAAGTCTCTGGTGCACCCCCCACCTCCTGCCAAGTCATGTGGGAATACCGTAATAGGAAATGACATTGCAGATGAAGCTGCAAAACTTCCAACTAAGAGAAGAAATGTAGATGTTTACATACCTCAGAGTCTATCACAGATTAAGAAAGTAATTAGAAACAGAGCAATGCAAAAGATGTACAGTGACCATAACATAGCAGTTGCAACATCAGGATCTGTGAGTTGGTACAAGAATTCAACCAACTACGAACCACTTATTTTGCAGAAAGGGAACAACAGAAGTACACTTACATCGCATCTATCTTAGATACCCATGTGCAAGGAAAATAGGCTTACAGGTTCCGGAAGATGAAATAAAATGTCAGCTCTGTGGAGAAATGCCCGACAGACCACTAGAACATTATCTAACACAGTGTAGGGTTACAAACCCATTAAGATTTCAACTTAGATTCAACAGAACAGAAGTAGTTGTTAAACACATGGGGCAAGATCTTACTAAAGAGACCATACGAGTCATAAATACTTATACTATGCCCAAGTAAAACAGAAACAAGCAACACTTAGTGGGCCAGCCAGAGGCTTAGGGCCCATGCAGGAATATCCCTGCCACCCCACCCCCCCAAAAAATGGATTATTGCATGAAGATAAAAAAACCTCATCTTCAGAAAGACATGGCTTCATTGGAGAAATATAACACCAGGCAACATAAATCATTTTAGAACTAAGTTAACTCTCATATCAGGACAGGTTGAGGGCCACAGGGCTAACAACACAGCAAACCAGACAAAATAAGGCTGATCTCATCGAAATGTTCAAAATAATGAACAATTTGGAGGTTGATCTGGACAACTCTTTCAAAAGGTCAGATGTAATACAGACAAGGAGTAATGGTTTCAAGCTCAACACGCCAAGGTGTAGGACTGAAAACAAGAGATGCTTTTTCACTCACAGGGTTATAAACCCCATGGAACAGCCTACCCGCCAAAGCCATAAATGCCGAAACTTTGCTGAGCTTTAAAATCCAACTTGAAAAATTCATCAGGACAAATAGGACCTTTGACAAGCTACCAGCTTCCTGTTCTTGAGGCCACTAGTGTGTTATTGGCCCTTAGGTAAATTTGCTAATTTCTAAAAGCATAATTATATTTGTCATGCTTGAATCAAACATGCATGTATTTAATGGTTTTATCAAATTTACAAATACTGTACTAAAAAAGTAACCACAGTAAGCTGACAATTTGTATATCCTATAAATAAAATATTATTTTTGAGTAATGTACTGTACTTTAACAAGCTTAGTCAATTGCAAATCACAAAAAAATCTAAATCTACAAATTACATAACTAATATATTAATTTTACCAAACCCTGTAAGTACCCTCTCAATCAAAATTTTATTAAGTGGTCCAATGAATTAATATTAAAATATGTGTTTTTACCACCAATAGGAAAAGGCAATAAAATATTAAGTTCAGTCAAATATTAAAGCTTTATTCAGCATTATAACATGTTGATTATACAGCTTTTACTGCAAATGCTTATAAACAAACAAATAATTTAACTAACCATACTAAGCTTTATGCCTTGTTGCCAAGTTATTCATTAGTATTTTGAACCACAATCAGCATATACTCCTTATCTGAAAAAAAAAAATATGTATAACCACACAATCTATTGCAAGAATGCAGAAATTTACATCTGTATGAACTCTTATAGAGGTGATGATATTCTTGTAACCTGCCTGACTGCTATGATCCTTATCGAGAGCACAGTAGATCTAATCTTTGGGTGCAAGCGAATGGTACTTTATTTTTCAAAAAGGTACCTTCACATTTATTCAAGACTGTATTTTTAATGTACATAATAAGATCCAATCTGGATTCAGACTCAAGAACTTGAAGTGGGAATTGCCAGACACAATATATAAATGCAGCGAAACTACTCAAAACAACACAATTAAATTTAACTGCAACCATACTTCCATTGCACCTATTATAAAGAAAACAGCGTTGAATGTAATGAAACGCCATTTTCTGGGTGAGACACGGAAGCTTCCCAGAGCTTATCCAGGCTGATATTACTATATTAGACTTTGGCATCAGTCATGTGAATGGAGTTCTTAGGCCTACTGGGGACCACGAGCCAGAACCTGGCCCTTCCTTAGAGGCACGAGGAGCAATGACCTATAGAAACCCCCATGTGGTTGGAAGCATTCTATGTCTGCCATCAACCAGGTCAGGCACCCAGAAATGTAAGCGCCCCAAAACAAACCCCTATTCTGGTTAAGAAATTGCTACTGAAAGCCGAACTAGTGAACAGAACTCCCCAAACAAAAACGAGCATGATGTCACCACATCGCTGCACCACTGTCTGCGCAGCTTTCACCTCCATAGGAGGGGGAAGGGGGAACCCCAGAACTTCATGCTGACTACCCAAACCCCATTTCTCAGGGTGGATATAAAAAACACACGAAAAACCACCGACAGGAGGAAGGGAGGGTTGCCGGGGAGCCTCCGGGTCTGACCCAGAAAATGGCGTTTCATTTCATTCAACATTGCTTTTCTGGGGTTAGCCCCTACGGCTTCCCAGAGCTACGTACCAAAAGACGAAAACAAGAGGGACTTACCCATGAGGCAGTAGTTGCTCACTCCTCAACGCGAAGTCGAGACAACTGGCTTAAACCACCGACCCAATGTGATACAGGCCCGACTAGGCCCAAGAACATTCACCAGGTAACACACAGCCAGGACTCTGCTTAGTTTAGTTTAGTTCTTGAGGTTATCTTGAGATGATTTTGGGGCTTTTAGTGTCCCCGCGGCCCGGTCCTCGACCAGGCCTCCACCCCCAGGAAGCAGCCCGTGACAGCAGACTAACTCCCAGGTACCTATTTACTGCTAGGTAACAGGGGCATTCAGGGTGAAAGAAACTTTGCCCATTTGTTTCTGCCTCGTGCGGGAATCGAACCCGCGCCACAGAATTACGAGTCCTGCGCGCTATCCACCAGGCTACGAGGCCCCGAGGAGTTCATTTATTATGCACCCCATACCCATCTTGTGGGCAGTAGTGGAAAGGTTTACAGAGGCACATAATGGGCTCAACACTATCGGTCAACGGGCAGGCGCGTGGTAAACTTAGGGGTCATGTACCGAGCGTGCGGGTACGTGCACGGTGACACCTAAATGTGTATACTCGTTTTAGCTTTCTCACCTTAATTCTCGTGTTACGTCGCTCATTTTGGTATCATTGTGTTCGCAATTAAATTCCCTACAGGTGTCTATAAATATAATGTCCAAGAGCCTGGCATGACTCCCAACAGCAAAGCCTAAAGTTGGCAAAAGTTACCCGTGAGTGCACAAAATCAGTAAAATGTGCATACTCATTCCAATTTTCTCACCTTAATTCTCGTGCTACGTTGCTCGTTTTGGTATCATTGTGTTCGCAATTAAATTCCCTACAGATGTGTATGAATATAATGTACAAAAGTTTGGAGTGCCTCCCCACAGAAAAGCCTAAATTTACCCTTGAACGAGCACCAATTTGTACACTGCAACCTAATGTGTATACTCGTTCAGTTTGATAACATCAATTTTCGTGTTACGTCTTTCATTTTGGTATCAAATTGTTCGCAATAAAAAGGCGCGTATTTTAAAACTAGTCCCATAATAATAGAGCAATAACTGGAATTTCAACAAATATTTTAATTCTGGAAGCTCATAATCACAAAATTATTTATATCTTTCCAGTGTTCTGACATAAATTTTTGTGTTACATCTTTCATTTTGGTATCAAATTATTCGTGACGTAAAGGCGCGTATTTTAAAACTAGTCCCAACATAATAGCATAATAAATAGAATTTTAACAAATATTTTAAAATTTTGACCAAAAGCCTATGTATAATCATATAAGTGTTCGGACATCAAGTTTCATGTTACATCTTTCATTTTGGTATCAAATTGTGCGCATTGTAAAGGCGCTTATCTTGATACTATCCCGAGGTCGATTGGATAAAAAATGAATTTTATACAAATATTTTTTGTAGTGGATGCAAGTCCGGTCCAAAGTTAGGACTCAGGAGAAAAATAATGGACGCGAGTCCGGTCCAAAGTTACCGATAGTGTTAAACTCATACAGGGAGGGGGAGATATGAAAACTCCTCCCCCTGTAACAACAAGCTCCACACCTAGGGTATCAACATCCAGGCGGGGTCAAATGGGTCCCAAGCCCTCCAAGTCGACTCCTCCCCAGCCACGGGATCCTCCATGTCAGGACCCGAGGCAGTGCTGTCCTCCAAGCTCTCTGCCTCTGGAGAAAGGGCAGAGTCCATTGGAAAAGCAGGGAAGGAGGTGGTCTGCTGGTTTGACCCGAAAGCCCTGGCAGGAGGAACAGGCTCGAATGCCTCCGCCGTAGATCCGGAATTGGCAGTCCCCGAAGTCACCCGAGTCTCACCTCCAAGAAAGCCCTGTCTTGACTCTGAAACCCTTAGACGTTTGAGAGCCAGAAGCGGGATGAACTACAGCAGTGGAAGGACAAGGGGGCGCGAATGAAACCAAAGTCGAGGTGACTATCTCCCCCAAGTCTGGGTCCCTATAACCCAAGGAGGACAGCCATGGGGCATCCGGAAAGGCAACCAACCTAGCACGTTGCAGCAACCTAAACCTCGCATGCAACGCAGAAGCTGCCTGCACTCGAATATCAGTATCAGAGGACTAGGTGAACTGGAGTACAAGCAAGGAACACCACTCGCAGAACTCCGGGTCAAAGGAGGAGGAGTATTGACCCAACAGGCCGCATGGCAGAGGCAAAGATAGTGAGTGTCACCCTGACACTCAATAAAACATCTAAATTATTGGGGGAGATTAAAATGTATGAATCTGTAATCTCTGGAATGCAGGCAGGAGAGATTCATAATAATATACACTTTGAAAATATCAGAGGGACTGGTTCAAAATCTGGACACAAATATCATCACATGAGACCAGAAGGTATGGCAGGATGTGCATAATACCCCCGCTGAAACGCAGAGATGCAATAGGTAATCTGAGAGAAAAACTATCAACACCAGAGGTCCAAGAATGTTCAAACACACTTCCACTGCATATACTGTACTGTAAGGGACATAACTAGCCAATTTCTCACGGTGTTCAAGAGAGAACTTGATAAACACCTCTAGAGGATACCTGATCAACCAAGCTGTGATTCATATGTCAGGCTGCGAGCAGCTGAGTCCAACATCCTGGTTGACCAGACCACCAACCAGGAGGCCTGATCAGAGACTAGGCCGCAAGGAGGGTGAACACTGAAATCACCGCAATGCAAGGTATATTCTTCTTTATTGCAATCTGCATTATTATGACAAATAAAATTTACTTAGCACTTAAATTAGTTCATGGTATTATACACTATTTATATGAACAATGTTGTTCTATTTTCTTGTAAAATGTTAGATATAGCATAAGAAAAGCTCATAACTACTATGCTGGGTATTGTACACTAAATCTCACATTAGATTAATAACAAAAAACAAGGGCCCCTCAAACAAAATTTAAATAAACAAATTAAGAGTAATTCGGACTCCAAAAGATTAGACTACTGTATAACATTTTTCATCCATGGGCATTAAGTACTATTTTTTAATTGCTTATGACTCTAAAGTAAAGAAAATGGCTATTACTTGCCTCAAATGTTGCTTTGACTTTAGCCTTGGGCAGCTTTGGGAAGATGTCTTGAAGGGTACTTGAAGAATGCAGACTCCTTATCTAGAGCTGTGACAAATTATCACAACCTTCAAGGCAGCTTCTCTAAACTGTCTAAGGCAAATGTCGAAGCAAAGTTTGTAGGAGGTAGCAGCTATTTTCTATACTTTGGAGAGATAAGCAACTAGAAAATAACACATACTAGAGGAACGAAAACTGTGTTACATAGTCATAGGGTGACAACACTATACACTTACCAGGGGCTATCATAATTTCATGTTTTTTGGACCGAACTCTAAGGAATGTAAGATCATTTGTTGGATCCAAATCACGAACAACACTGCGAGCCTTGTCAGTTAAACCACTAATGAGTCCAGTATACTGTATTGTTGTGGGGTTATCTAAAGTGCTCTTGATGGGAATCCCTGAAATAAGAAATAAACATTAAAGTTTTTTGTTATGGTTATATTCACAAGTACAGTACTGTACTTCCACAACTTTGAATTATCAACACAGGCACATACAGAACAAGGAGGCTTTAACTTATGATGGGGGATGCATTCTTAATATTTCAATTGCAAATCAATTGGTCAGAACTTGAAACATAATTTCCCCATAGGTGTAATGCTGTAAATGTTACGATAGGTTCCAAAAGCATTAACAAATTTGCATATTTAAAACAATTAAATATAAAGTTCAATGAACACTGCCATTATTTACCTTGAATGCTGGAGTGCCTTGCTTAGTAAATTTGATAATTATTTAGGAAAAAGAGGTAACAACTGCTTTTTCCATATCAAAAACAATAAAGATGCACTGATTGGTAAATACGGTAGAATTCATTGGTGCCGAACCCTAAGCAAGTTCTACAATTACATGCCTCTCTTTGATACTAGTGTCGAGTGTTGGATGGTTTACTCTGTTCACAAGTGCATTATATGTTAATATATGTTCTTTCTATGAGCACTCATTACCTCCACTTTCATTTCTCATGTTATAGCTGCTCCCTGTCTTCACCGTGATACATCACCACCAAAACTACTTTTCCTCTTATCAACCATCATTAAGGGTTTTTCTGGGCTATAATTAGCAGGGTTCTTTGGAGAAATGACAATGTTAGCTATATTTATAATTTCTTAAGTTGCCTTTTTTATAACTTAAGGCAGGAAGCCTGTCAGGTTTATTGAAGTCCCCCCCCCTAGACCAACTACTGTACTGCCCTTACCCCAGATTGGCAATAGTTGCCTAACACCCAGGTACCTATATACCATTAGGTGAAAGGAACCATCTTCAAACATCTGTACTGCCATAGGAATCAAACCTAGAACCTTTCAGGTGTAACCCCCAACTGTGCTGATGGCTATGTTAATACATTTGTCACTGGTGTATCACTGTGGATTATATGTGCATTTTGCTCAATCAATCAGGATAAGCACTGTTGGGAAGCCCCAGGTTAGCAAGATAAGCCATACAAAGGCTAGAAACTGATGGAGTATTTGAAAGCCTCTTCATTAATATATTTGCAGTGCTTTGCATTGCTTTGTCCTGTTTCTAGATGATACTATAGAGAAATCTATAGTACTGTAAGTGTAAAGTAGAAGGGGGGGGGGTCCCCAACCCAACTTACAATAACCCAGTTCAAGAGTGGTGAGCAACTGGGATTAACCACCACATTTGTTTTAGTAAAGTAGGTGAACAAACAGCTCAGATCCAATATGCTTCTACATCATACAATAAAAAATAGAAAGTACAGTACTGTACAGTAAATCGTAATCCTCATCCTTTAATGATATGTGCAGACATTATCACACAAAAATGAAGAAACTCTTACCTTCAGCATTGACAACAATGACCCCAACAACACCCTTGTGGGATTGGATTCTTTTCAGAGTTTCTTCTACTTCAGCAGACTGAAAAAAAATATATACTGTATATATGTATGTATGTATACACACACACACACACACACATACATACATACATACATATATACATACATATAACTATCAGCATATTTAAGCTTTAGTATATAAAGTTATAATTAGGCTTATATAATATCTATTATGTATCTTATTTAGGCTTTAGTCCCCCAGGAGGTAACCCCACAATAGCTGACTAGCTCTCCGGTACCTATATACTGCTGGGTGAACAGAGGCAATAACTGAAAGGAAACATGCTTGACCATTTCTGTCCTGCCCAGGATTAGGTATGTTCGATATGAAAATTTGAATTACAGTACGTCTGAAAGATTAGGCGAGGGCTGAAAAGCTGGGGTGCAGTCATATCGTACACATGCATTTCAATTAACTATATTTTCAAATTGTAAATGTTGTATACACTATTAGGTTAAACTGTTAGTTTAAGTTAGGTTTAGTTACATTAGGTCAGGTGAAATTAGGTAGGTTTTAAAATTCACTTCCATAATGTGATTTCAAAAAAATAAAAATGTTTATTCGAGTAAAAGTAAAAAAGTGTTTGTAACTCATAGAAAATGAGTTACAAACATAATGTTGGGTTTATGGCTAGAGCTAGTACATACAATACCGAAAGCTACTAATACACACAGCGTTTCAGGCAATGTTTAGGATTTTCTAAGATTTGCAGATTGCATCAGACAGGTTAGGCAAGGGGTTGAACAAACACCAATACATGAACAGCGTGACATAACTGATGCTACTCCTTCACCCACCTCTCCTCATGTAATACACCTTTCATTATGCACCAAACAACATATATATTACCTTGAAATCTTCTAGAAGATAAATAATCAATTAAACTGTAAGAATTCAACATTTTTTGTCATTGAAGTTCCAGCACTGACAAGCGTCTCCCTTAAGCAGCCACAAAGTCTTCCTTAGTGTCAAACACCTACAAAAGCAGAATGACAGGTTTCGGTTGGGCTCGAGGCCTATCAACCTCAGGAGGGCCATTAATGATCAATAAATCTACTTTTAGCTCTGAACATAGTCCAGGGCTACAGTAAACTCTGGCTGCATACACACCAAGTGGTTGGGTATACCTTTCTCTACATATATCCCTGTGATGACACTAAATATTGTCAAATATTAAGGAAACCTGGAGCGGCTCACCATTGTGTTTACGTCGTCGGCAGCCACGCCTCTCGCCCCGTCCGAAGTGCGACATAAGGGGATATATATATATATACATTTGTTTATTTATTTATTTATTTTTATTTATTTATTTATATATATACAAGAAGGTACATTGGGATTGTGAGGATACATATGATAGTAATTACAATTTTGTAAAGCCACTAGTACGCGCAGCGTTTCGGGCAGAAAGTGTAACTTTCTGCACGATTTTTTTTACCGAAGTTTTTACACTTTACAGTGTAACTTGTAAGTGTAACCCGATTCTCGGTGAATATACACTGGGAGTTTACTGTAGTACAAGACGACGTTCAACATTAAAGTATATTTGCTGATTGGTCAGTAAACTATTGTGGTGTCCTTAAAAAAAGTGGATTATTCCAAAATTCTACGACATTTATGATTCTAAATGCTATATTTATTTAAAAATGTATTGGATTGCAGCATTATCTGTGTAAGTATTATTGAATATTTATCATACGCTCATAATGTAATTTTATAATAGCTTCGTCAAGATCGTACAACAACGTTAGTCACCAAGGCAACAGCAGTAAGGTTTCTCTCTTGTTAAGTATTGCAAAACAGAGACGTTGCTAAATAATTCACAAATATATATAAGGTTTGTATTTATACATAAATATAAATCGTATTTTATTGATGTAAGCTCATTATTAAACTACAGAAGCATCCTCATTTCTTTTATGTTGAGAAGTTCTACTACACATGCACCACCACCGCTGTCAGGTCTGACCTATTATTTGTTTACCCCTAATTTCCAAACAGGGTTGTATAAATAAATCTTATCTTATCTTTGCATTCAATTTTGTGCGGTAATTTTTCAAACTTAAAATGTAAATAGCTATATATATATATATACCCCCTCTAAATGAAAAATGGCCTAATTTAACATATGTGCTAAAAATATTAACATAAATAATTCGTTTGTTAGATAACAAGATATTCATAGCAATAAGGTTTCTTGGAATGGCCTATAATGCACGCAAATACTAGTTTACGCACTTTTCGGGTAGTACGCCTGCCAGCTGGAATTTCAAAATGGCGTTCAAACGGCGGTTGGTCGTTGAAGGCTCCGGCGCTCAGTATCGTCGCTGCCGCCACGGCGACAACATGTACCACTGATTTCCGACATCAGCAACATTACTCCAGGTAAGAGTGATAATTCTTTTTGACATATTTATATCTTATATATACACAGTATATAGAATTATATAATATAATGGGGTTTCACGTATGGAGTTTGCTTCGAACAATGCCTATCAATGTTAGTTTAGTTCGTTTATTTGAAGTTGTTCTCTGGATCCATATCTTCGAAACTGTTCAATATTTTAATAGGCAGGCGATGAGTCACAATAACGTGGCTGAAGTATGTTGACCAGACCACACACTAGAAGTTGAAGGGACGACGAGTTTCGGTCCTTCCTGGACCATTCTCAAGTCGATTCAAGTCGATATTTTAATAGTTTCGGTGAGATCCATCCTGGCATGCCTAGTTTGCAGTGTTGTTAGCCCTGTGACCCTCAACCGTTCATGGTATGAAACTAGACCTCATTCTGCAATTATTTTTGTCGCCTGGTGTTCAATTTTCTACATGAAAGGTTGGGCGCGGGGTGGGTTCTGTCGGCCTCCAAGTGGGTTCTCTGTCGGGCTCCAAGTGGGTTCTCTGTCGGGCTCCAAGTGGGTTCTCTGTCGGGCTCCAAGTGGGTTCTCTGTCGGGCTCCAAGTGGGTTCTCTGTCGGGCTCCAAGTGGGTTCTCTGTCGGGCTCCAAGTGGGTTCTCTGTCGGGCTCCAAGTGGGTTCTCTGTCGGGCTCCAAGTGGGTTCTCTGTCGGGCCCCAAGTGGGTTCTCTGTCGGGCCCCAAGTGGGTTCTCTGTCGGGCCCCAAGTGGGTTCTCTGTCGGGCCCCAAGTGGGTTCTCTGTCGGGCCCCAAGTGGGTTCTCTGTCGGGCCCCAAGTGGGTTCTCTGTCGGGCCCCAAGTGGGTTCTCTGTCGGGCCCCAAGTGGGTTCTCTGTCGGGCCCCAAGTGGGTTCTCTGTCGGGCCCCAAGTGGGTTCTCTGTCGGGCCCCAAGTGGGTTCTCTGTCGGGCCCCAAGTGGGTTCTCTGTCGGGCCCCAAGTGGGTTCTCTGTCGGGCCCCAAGTGGGTTCTCTGTCGGGCCCCAAGTGGGTTCTCTGTCGGGCCCCAAGTGGGTTCTCTGTCGGGCCCCAAGTGGGTTCTCTGTCGGGCCCCAAGTGGGTTCTCTGTCGGGCCCCAAGTGGGTTCTCTGTCGGGCCCCAAGTGGGTTCTCTGTCGGGTGGGTTCTCTGTCGGGGCTCCGGGGTGGGTTCTCTGTCGGGGCTCCGGGGTGGGTTCTCGGTCGGGGCTCCGGGGTGGGTTGTCGGTCGGGGCTCGGGGTGGGTTGTCGGTCGGGGCTCCGGGGTGGGTTGTCGGTCGGGGCTCCGGGGTGGGTTGTCGGTCGGGGCTCCGGGGTGGGTTGTCGGTCGGGGCTCCGGGGTGGGTTGTCGGTCGGGGCTCCGGGGTGGGTTGTCGGTCGGGGCTCCGGGGTGGGTTGTCGGTCGGGGCTCCGGGGTGGGTTGTCGGTCGGGGCTCCGGGGTGGGTTGTCGGTCGGGGCTCCGGGGTGGGTTGTCGGTCGGGGCTCCGGGGTGGGTTGTCGGTCGGGGCTCCGGGGTGGGTTGTCGGTCGGGGCTCCGGGGTGGGTTTGTCGGGGCTCGGGGTGGGGTCGGTCGGGGCTCGGGGTGGGTTGTCGGTCGGGGCTCCGGGGTGGGTTGTCGGTCGGGGCTCCGGGGTGGGTTGTCGGTCGGGGCTCCGGGGTGGGTTGTCGGTCGGGGCTCCGGGGTGGGTTGTCGGTCGGGGCTCCGGGCAGGCTTTAGGTACTTAACTGGCGGGCTCTGGGTGGGTGACTGTTCGGGCTCCAGGTGGGTGTCTGTCCGGCTTCGGGTGGGTTCTTGGTAGGGCTTGGGGGGTGTGGGTTCTTGGTAGGGCTTGGGGGGGTGTGGGTTCTTGGTAGGGTTTGGGGGGGTGTGGGTACTTGGTAGGGCTTGGGGGGTGGGGTTCTTGGTAGGGCTTGGGGGGTGAGGGTTCTTGGTAGGGCTTGGGGGGGTGTGGGTACTTGGTAGGGCTTGGGGGGGTGTGGGTTCTTGGTAGGGCTTGGGGGTGTGGGTTCTTGGTAGGACTTGGGGGGGGGGGGTGTGGGTTCTTGGTAGGGCTCGGGGGGGTGTGGGTTCTTGGTAGGGCTCAGGGAGGTGTGGGTTCTTGGTAGGGCTCGGGGGGGGTGTGGGTTCTTGGTAGGGCTCGGGGGGGTGTGGGTTCTTGGTAGGGCTCGGGGGGGGTGTGGGTTCTTGGTAGGGCTCGGGGGGGTGTGGGTTCTTGGTAGGGCTCAGGGGGTTTGGGTTCTTGGTAGGGCTCGGGGGGGTTGGGTTCTCTGTAGGGCTCGGGGCGGGTTCTTGGTAGGGCTCGGGGTGGGTTCTCGGTAGGGCTCGGGGCGGGCTCCAGGTACTCAACTGACGGGTTCCAGTTCACTCAACTGGCGGGCTCCGGTTCACTCAACTGGCGGGCTCCGGTTTATTAAACTGGCGGGCTCCGGGTGTTTGACTGGTCGGGCTCCGGGTGGGTGACTGTTCGGGCTCCAGGTGGGTGTCTGTCCGGCTTCGGGTATGTTCTTGGTAGGGCTTCGGGGTGGGTTCTTGGTAGGACTTAGGGTTGGCTCCCGGTCAGGCTCAGGGTGGGCTCTTTCGGGTTCGGGATGGGCTCTCGGGCTTGGGGTACCTCTGTAGGGCTTGGGGTA